GTCATCAATATACTCCTTGAAGTGTTCTTTTTTAATGAGCACTTCGATTGCCTGCTTTAGGGCTCGGCATTCATCAGTGTGATGCCCCTTATCCCGATGGTAACAACAGTATTTTTTGCTGTTTCTGGCCGTAGCAGGAGTTTTCATTGGTTCCGGCTCACCGAGCAGGCTGGCCTCCTCGGATTTGTTAAGGATTACAGATATGGACACGTTCAGTAGAGTGTATTGAGCTCTGTCCCAGTCACGTCGAGGAACAGGAGCATAGGACTTTTTGTGCTCGTAGCGGGGTTTCTTCCCTTTTCGCTAATCATCAATGTCTCATTTGCGATCAGCTCTCTTACTTTCTCCCCGACCAGGCATACTGCTCAAAGCGCCGTGATCGCGGCGGCGGAGTGCCGCCAATAAATTCTCTATTCGGAGATACTTTTCTGCAAGATTGTAAAATCTAGTGAGGGAAACATCGTCCTCAGCCTGCAGTTCTTTCCACAGGTCGGTTTGCGGGCGAACTCCAGCTATTATAAGTGTTCGGATGGACTCTTCTGGAGCGTGAGCCACCTTGTTTAGTTCCCTGTGGAAACGATCGATGTAAGATTGTAGGGATTTGTCCCTTTCTTGCCTTATGTTGCTAAGATAGCTCAAAGGCATCGAAAACTTCCGATTGGCTTGGAAATGTCGTAGGAAGGTCGTGCTCATCTAAGGCCACGAACTGATCGATCCCGCTGGGAGCGACCTTAACCACCGTTTGGCGCGACCTGCAGACTTCTTTGGCGGTTGCACCGCCCCAGCTGTTGTAGATGACATGCCTTAGTCCAAACGGTCCAACCTCTGGTTGACCGTCTAGAGAGTATTATCGAATCTCTCCAAGTAGCTTCTGATGGCGAGGTCGAGTTGTGAAGCTGCTGGGATATCCCCCGCAGCATTTTGTGAAACTAGAAGTACCCTGGAGGGGTTATCCCCTTGGGTCAAAGGCGCTCATTCAGCGCGCTGATTAGCTTGCTCAGGTTCAGATTGGAGGGCCATTTGTTACTGTAAGACCAGTAGGTCGAAGATTCTCCTGATGAAGGGTAAACGCTAAATCAGGCCCTCCTTCTAGCGCCAAACTGTTGATGCGTGATTTTGGCACCAACTAATCGACACGTGTGCAACGTTGATTGGTCAAGAAACACACATGAGTATGGATAATGAATATGAAATAAATGCAATGAGAGCTTTTAAAGTGGTTCGGATGTAAGGTAGCAAGTCCTACGTCCACTGATTTGTATTGATATGATGGATCAGGTCGCTAAAGCGGACTGACTTACAAATGATTGGAAAAGTAAATACAAAGTTTTTAGAGAGAGAGAGTTCAAATGTAAAATGGCCAAATCCCCTTAATGACGGGGTCTTCCTCTTTTTATATCAAGTTGAATGCGTGTAATCATCATTAAATCCTTGGGTTGGTGTGAATGTCAGGACATAATCTGGCTTTACGTCCCATTGCCCATTTCTCAAGCTGATTTCTCGCGATTTGGAGCAGGGAAACGGACACGTGGGAGCTCCAGGGCGCTTGGCAGGCCTGACGTGCACTTACTGTTCTGATGGGAGTAGGTCACATTTCGTCATGTGACTCCACGTCAGCCCTTGATTTCCCAGGCATAACAGAGTCAAAGGAAAAGTCCCTTATATTGTTAGTCTATATACGAAGCAGGATGGTTTCTTCTTCTTGATCCATCACTGTAAGTCATTGGTAAATAATTAGCAGTTGTGTTTATAAAGTAATTTGAATTTGTAAGCATTTAAAATTTAAGCAATTATATGTTCGGTTAAAATAAGTATAAGTCATTGATAAATAATTGACGCGTTTGATAAAATGTGATTTATAAGTATATTTTATTATTAAAATGACTAAAAATGTTATCACATTTTTTTATCGAATAATAAATAAAGTTATATGATAAAATTTTAAAATTAAATAAAAGTAATATGATAATATACTTGATCAAAATAGTAAGCCAAAAATAAAAAAATAAAAAGATAAGTTTCCAACTTATTTTTTAACCTATAAGCCCAGCTAAAAAAAGTTATAAGCACAAATGAGCACGGGTAGCAGGTAAAACCGGAACCTACAGGTAGAATCGAAACTAGAACCTACCCGGAACCGGCACTATGCGAGTAGGTTCCAGTTCCATTTTATTAGAACCGATATTGTGCGATTCCGATTCCGGTTCTTATGTGTGGAGGAACTAGAATCGGAACCTTAAAAAAGAACCTGAAACGGGTACCCAGTTTGGAACCTGCTTGGAACCTGTAGCAGTACCTGAGTTGGAACTTGTTTGGAACCGATTTTTGGAACCTGTTTTGGCACCTGGGCTCCAATCAAATATTTGTGAATAATGGGGGGTTTCATTATTTTACATATACAAAATTTAAAATAGAAAAAGTTAAGGGTCCGTTTGGTTTGTTATTTTGAATAGGAATTGGAAATAATATTGGATTGTTGAATAGGGTAATTATTACGAGGTAAAATTTAAAAATTAACAAAAAAACCACATAGGTTTGCTAATTTAACTAAACACCCAAATATATAAAAATTTTGTAAAATGACAAAAACATCCCTACCTACCCAAAATGCCAGATTCCAGTCACCACCACCGAAATCTAGTCAAAATCTGGCATTACGACGTAGACTAGTCGGATCTGACCGGACATACATCGATTTGGTATTTTTCGACCAGATCCACCACGGATCTGTTGGAAAAGGCTAGATCGACTGTTAAATCTAGCCGTCAATGGCCACAAAAGGTCAAATATGACCGTCAACGATGGTCAAAGATACGACTGTCATTGTTCGACAACGATAGCCAAGAGTTACACGTCTAACTTGTACAAGAGTTACACGTCTAACTTGTACACTGTGTGGGGTGGGACAAATGTGAAAGCTCACACAAAAGCAACTGCCTACCGTGACAATTGAACCAAATTGAACGTTTGAGTAGAAAAGTTGAACTTTTAACACCCTTGAAACCCTTTATATGCTTGAGTAATATATTTATTTACTCAAAAAAAATATACCACAAATTCAAATATTTAAAATCAGTCGCGTAGAAAAATACGTGTTTATCTCTACATGTGTGGGCAAGTAATGGTCTGACACGAGAGAATCGGATTGAGTGAGTCAGCATCCATAAAAGGAAATTAAAGAGGACAAGTAGTTTAAGTAAGGCCACCTGTTATCCTGATCACTTCCATAAGAAAACAGTGTGCCAAATCCCACGCCTATCTTCTTATCCACAGGACACCAAACATCTCTCATAAATCAACCATATCTATCCCACTCATTAATAAAATATAAATACTAATTAAACATTTAAAATAATTAAAAATATTTATCAACCATATTTCCAAGTCTTCATTTCAGTTTCTTTGTTGAAGTGTGACCCTTGATGTCTGTCTTGTCAGTGTCATATTTCCAGCCATTGTAACATTAAGTTTCGATTTCAACATACTAAATTAAGGCAGTCAATATATCAAACATATATATATATATATATTTTGGTGGGTTCTTAAAACTATATTTATAATTTTATATACTTTTGAAGAGCTCTATTTTATTTGCTGAAGTAAACTATATCGAAGGAAAACAGATGTGTGAAATTGTTTTATGCACTCCTAATTTGAGAAACTAGGTAAAAATTCATAAGATTTTCAAATTATACATATTACATTCATAAGATTTTAAGCTAATGAGATAAGTGAAATAATTTGTCAAATAGTAAATAAACTATAAATTATATCATAAACTTCCTAATACAATGTATAAATGGATGTTTTAATATTTTTATTTACATTAATTTGGATTAAATATGTTATGCCTGAAAAATATAAGGCTGACGTAAAGAGTCACGTGAAGGAAAGGACGGCCTGCCACAGTCAGAACGGTAGGTGCGTGCCAAACCAGCAAGAAGTTGTGATGATCCCACATGTCCAATCCCTGCTCTAAATCGCGTAAATTACTCTAGAAGGTGAACAATGTGACATAAAGAAGGATTTGCCTGACATTTCCACCAACTCATAGATTGAATAATCATTACTTCAATCCATCCCACTATAAATTAGAGACTACTCTCTCATTTGAGGGATTCGCCTATTTTTACTTTTCATCAACTATTCTCTCTCTTGTACTTTCACTCAGTGAGTCTTCTGTAAATCATTTGTAAGTCAAGCCTCGAATATCATTAATATAAACATCAGTGGATGTAGGACTTGTTACCTTAGCATCTGAACCACTTTAAAAAGCTCTCTCCATTGCATTTACTACGTTTCGTTGGTGTTAAAATCACGCATCAACAAAATATATAATATATAACAATTTAAAGTAAGTATAAAAGGACGATTTATAATACTATAAATTGTGTAATATTAAAAATTAAATGCATTAAATAAGTTAATGGTATTGTTAAATGCTAATGGATTTCATTTGGCTTGTTTAATAGTATAAGATTTTTTTTTTTTTTTTTTTTTTTTAAATGATAGAGAGGGATATCCACCAAATATTAAAACTCATTACTCCTAATTATTGCTGTTGCGAGAAGACATGTTGGGGAGGACGGGAGAAACCATGAGAGAGTACAAAGGAATTTTTTTTTTATTTTTTTTTTTATTTTTTCTAAGGAATAAGAAGGGAAAAAAATTGTGTTTTGGAAGTAGAAGGGAAAACAAATAAATAGAGAGATCTTAACCATTCAATTTCATGTATTTCATATTCTTTTGGCCAAAAAAAAAAAAAGGCTACGGTCCTGCGAAGACTAAGTAATTAATTTAAAAAAAAGAAGAAAGTTATTTGGTACAACTCCCTGTTAATTAATTAATTTCACCATTGAGAAAGGGTCATTCATGAAAATTTCTCTAAATTGAGTGGCATAGACTTTATGGAAGTTTCAAGGAAATCGCTTAGAGATTAACCAATGATATGCTTTTATAATTTTGAGATGTTGTTTTGAGTTTTGTTGAGATGGCGTCTTCTCCTTCTTCTTCCACTACTCCTTCAGTAATAAAGAAGCACGATGGTTTCATTAATTTCAGAGGGGAGGACACTCGCTATTGTTTTGCCAGCACTCTATGTGGACTTTTGCTTCAGAAAAATATCACTATTTTCTTTGATGAGGAGCTTGAGAAAGGAGATGAAATTTCGTCATCTCTTATAAATGCAATTGAAGAATCAGCTATTTCAGTTGTTATTTTCTCAAAAAGGTATGCCTCTTCTAGATGGTGCCTTGAAAAACTTGCAAAGATCATTGAATGCAAACAAAGGCACCAACAGATAGTATTACCAATTTTCTATATTTAGATCCATCAAATTTAAGGAATCAAATTGGAACTTTTGGGGATGAATTTGCCAAGCTTGTAGAAAGTTTTAAAAAGGAGAAGTTAGAAAAGCTACAAATGACAGAAGAACAATTTGAAGAGAAGATTCAGACATGGAAGAATGCTTTGACAAAAGCAGCCAACCTATCTGGCTACACCGCAACTAACACAACGTAATTTTCTACTCTTTTACAATATTTATCGCTTCAGATGAGTTTCTATTTCCTTTTTTTTCTTTTCTTTTCTTTTTTTTTGTCAAGTTTGCGAGAGATATAAAATCAAATCAAATCTAAATGCTTCTGCGCTTCAAAAAGTTCAAATTCACAGGTAACAACTAATTATTTTTTTTTCATTATTCTAAAGTTCTATTTATTTTAAACATTTTGTGTCACACCCCCTCCGCAGTAGTCCAAATCCCATCGGATTTGGGCGCTTCGAGGGACTTAAGATTTCGAAAGGAGGGTGAATATGTTGAAAACATTACATAAAAATCAATTACCAATCATAAATTAGAAATACAATTCGTCTCTTAAAACATAAGTATTAGAAATCAAATACAAAACATTGTATCACTATACACTAAAACAAACACACTTCATGAAGTAGAACATTTGTTTAGGGTTTAGGATGAAATGTACATGAATTCCACTTACCTTCAACCAATTTCGGATTTCCCCCTCTTCTTCTTCCTTTTTTCCTCTTCCTTTCTTCTCGACTTTGCCCCCAATGAGAGAACCCTAGCCCTTTATACACTAATTGGGCAAATTTTAATTAGGCCTTCATCGTTCCAGTTGTGACACTTTCCTCCCTTAGAGTTCCAAATTCTTGCACTTTGCGCCCTAAATTACAACCAGTAATTCTTAGTAAACTTATAAAAAACACGGGGTATCAGATTTTGAACATAAATTGGTCATGCGTCAACAATCTCAAGCATTATCGTATGTTTAATTTGTTAAAAAAAGTCTTCAACATTAAGATGTGGAATATCAAATTAAGGTTATATAGATGCAAAGTCAAAGATCAAATTCCATTTATGGTCAATTCTGACCAAATTAAGTTATATTGATGTGTAAATCTTTTCTTGGTCATATCCTTTTTACTATTGCTTCAAAAATCAGTTCTATTTTTTTAGTTATTTTCAATCACTAACATAATTCTTCTAGGAGAAATTTCTGATGTTCAAGGGTGAAATGACCTATTTCTTTGATCAATTATTACATAATAGAAATCACTTTTTTTGTTTTCCTCATGGTTTACTTACATTACTTATTAGTATTGTTTGTTTTTCTTATTAGGGTTGCATTTGAACTTGCAATGAGAGTTGTTCAAAATGTTTTGAAGGAATTAAATGATTTGTCCTCAGATGTTGATAATAAGAACTTGGTTGGAATCCAAGGTATTTGTGATCGCATAGTTTGTTGTTTATGCAACCAAGCTAATGGAGCTTATAAATTGTTTGCTCCACTTCCTGTTATTTATAATTTACCAATTTATAATAATATTTATGTCGTAGGAATTTGGGGAATGGGTGGTGTAGGAAAAACAACTATTGCAAAGGTTGTATATGCTAGAATGAGAAGTCAATTTGAAGCTTCTTATTTTGTTGATAATGTTAGAGAAAGATCAAGCGGTAATACTACATTAGCTCCCTTGAAAGAGGAAATGTTTTCTAGAATATTAGGAGATAAGCCTATTAAAATGGATACCACCTTTACAAAAAGAAGGTTTGGCTCAAAAAAGATTCTCGTTGTTTTTGACGATGTGACAGATGTTTGGCAAATAGAGTTTCTTGTTGGAGATCTTAAATATTTTGGTGAGGGAAGTCAAATTATCATTACAACAAGGGATAAACAAGTGCTTAAAAATTGTGTACTGCATGATGAATTTATATTTAAGATAGAGGGATCATGTGAAGATGATGCTCGTCAGCTTTTTTATAGGTATGCTTTTCAACAAAATCATCCTTTAAGAGATTATGATGAGTTATCACATGAGGTAATAAGGTATGCTAAAGGCGTTCCATTAGTTCTTAAAGTGTTAGGTTCCGTTTTATATGGCAGGACCAAACATTTTTGGAAAAGTACAATAGAGAAATTACAAATAATTCCAAATGAGAATATTCAGAAGGTGCTAAAAATAAGTTACGATGAACTTGAAGATTTGGAGAAGAGCATATTTCTAGATATTGCTTGTTTTCTAAAATGGGAGGATAGAGAGTTTGCAACAACATTCTTAGATGCTTGTGGCTTCTATGCAGAACATGGAATAACTATTCTCATTGACAAATGTCTAGTAACCATATCATGCGATAACAAAATAACAACGCATGATTTGCTTCAAGAAATGGGTTGGGAAATTGTGCGGCAAGAATCCACGAAACATCTTGGTATACGTAGTCGTCTATGGTATCCTGAAGATATATATAGAGTATTGGAAGGAAAAACAGTAAGTGTCAAAGAAAATATGTAATTTTCCATTTTTTTTTTATGAAGCTTAGTTACACATGTGACATCTACGGTAATTTACTAAATAAAGAAAACCACAAATCTTAGACCTTTATTGGATTGAACTACTCGAATGCAGTTGATAAGAGTTGGATTGAACTTGCTTTATTTGGTACACAAACCAAGCTGATGTTTGATACGATAATGGTTTAATTTTTTAAGATTTTGGCCTGTGAGGCTAAGTTCTGGACTTCTTGTTAATGAATTAAGTGGGTTTCATATTCCGTTAATTCAGGTAGCAAGCATTTTCCTTTAATGAATGAACTTGAACTTTTGTTGACAAATTTTCATGCACTATTCTTGCTGTGCTTCAGATGTATCTGTGCATTTAGAAAACAATTCTTATTGACGTGTAGATTTGATTTAAGCATCAGGTTATATACGAGGATATTTAGACATAAAAACATTCAGAAAAAGTATCAACGGATCTAGTTAATTAAACTCTGCTCATCTGTAAGTCATATTCCAACTACAAGTATAAATTCCAGAGCAAGAGCAGAACCCCTCCAATATTTAACCTGTGAAAGACATTTGCTGAAGTGAAATTTCTGAAAAATTGGTAGTTTCTGTGATATTGGTATTAATAATGTTTCTGAAATAAATTAGAGTGAAATACAAAATAAAAACCAAGAAGACAGTAGATTTATGTTATTATATAATGTCTTGAAACTAGAACTTGCCAATATAACAGAAGGAATTATGTAACAAGAATTACATAATGAGAACCAGTAGAATAACATGAATCACATTCAACAAGTACTTGTATCTGTGAGTGAATCATATTTAACTTATTTAAATTAATTATTTGGATCTCCTTAATTACTTGCAAACATATATACTTGTGAAAATTAAAGAATATTTGTGGTAATTTATCTTAGATATTAACTTAAATATTCATTAGATTTTATGTTATTTAAGCACAAATGGTGCACTACATTGTTGAATGTCCAAATTGTGTAAAGCACTACCAGGGCTAAAAGATGTTAAGGGCTTAAAATAAAAGGGTAGCCATATTCCTCGTATCAGCCCAAAAATATTTAAGTGGGTGAATTTAGAATGTCTGGTTGTGGTAAACAAGAAGGGCCATGTCATGCAGATATGGATCAATGGGCATCCAGAAGCCCAGACCAGCAATAGGTCATAAGAACTATCATGGGGCCATGAGAGCTCAAAATTTTGTTATCAACAAATTTTGCACAGAAACAATAATATTACGTATACAAATAAATATAAAATATTACTCTTTTATGTTATACAGTTATTCACATTTTATTGAATTGATTATTATATCCACTCATTGATCCATTTCATATCATGTCAATTTATATACAAAACTTATAATATCTATTATTATTCTTATGAAAAGAAAAATGGTAGGATCTATCTAAGATGGCCAATGAAATAGCTAGAATTCAAGGTTATCAAATATATACATTATTCAAAATCAATTTGAGCAAAGGAAGGCATATAAACTGCCATAAACTAAATGAGGGATTATTATGTTTCTGTTAGAGAGTAGAAATGTTTAGGGCGTTTACTGTATTTTATTATTTATTATTTATAAAGAAAAGTGAAAAAAGGTTATTTATGTACAAACTAGTGGTAAATACTGTTTTTACTTTTATTGACAAAAGACAAGGGGTAGTAAGTAATCCTATAAACTTTCTCTTACAATCACGATGTGTTAACTTGCAAATTTATAAGTGGGACCTATAACGAGTAGATGAGACCTATTTACGAGTTGACCAATCACGAATTGATACGTTGGAGTTATGAGAGAAAATTTATGAGATTGAGTTGTAAGTGTAATATTACTTATTATGTGCTATAAAATTGACAATGCCATCAATTAAAAGCAAAAGGAAAAGGTAAAAATGGATTTAGATTCCACATGACAAATAATCTTTTGTGAAGTGAAATATTAAAAATTAATTGAAGATGAAATTAAATTAATTAATTACTTCAATTTAGAACATTATTTAAACGTTCACATAGTTCTCCCGTCAAAAAGCTATATAATTTTGTGATACAAATTCATTTGGTAATAAACCTTTATTTTTCTGTGCTTAATTGTTCTTTGTTAGGCTAATATAAATCTTCCATATCGCAAGGCATTCTTCACAGAGAAATTGAAACCATAATTCAAGTCGGAGGCAGTTGAAAATTGAGTTAATAAAACTAAAACAAATTGAGCAACTACAAGTTCATTAATTTTTGTTACTATGAAGATGAAATTAATTATTAGCACAACGATGTGGCAATGTTCTAATTTTGTTGTTAATAATTTATATTACTAATTGCTGAAATTAATATATTTTTGTAAATTGATTTATTATCTTTTATATTTATAATAAGAAATTAAAACAATTTATATTTGGTTTGGTTTGGTTTGTCCTCTTATTTCTTATTTTTCAAAGAGTTAAGGTTGTCAGCAATGAGCCAATGACTCAAAGGAAAAGCCCCTTATATTGTTAGTCTATATATGAAGCAGTATGGTTTCTTCTTCTTCATCCATCACTATAATCATTGATAAATAATTAGCAGTTATGTGTTTATAAAGTAATTTGAACTTGTAAGCATTTAAAATTTAAACAGTTATGTATTCGGTTAAAATATGTATAAGTCATTGATAAATAATTTACATGTTTGATAAAATGTGACTTATAAGTATATTTTATTATTACAATAACTAAAAATGTTATCACATTATTTTATCGAATAATAAATAAAGTTATATGATAAAATTTTAAAATTAAATAAAAGTAATATGATAATATACTTGATCAAAATAGTAAGCCAAAAAATAAAAATAAAAATAAGTTTCCAACTTATTTTTTAACTTATAAGCCTAGCTAAAAAAAGTTATAAACAAATACATAGGGGTGAGCACGGATAGCGGGTAAAACCGAAATCTGCAGGTAGAACTGAAACCGGAATCGAAACCGAAACCGGAACATACCACGAACCGGCTCTGTGTAGTTCCAGTTTCGGTTCTGGTTCTTATGTGTGGAGGAACTGGAATCGGAACTTGAAACGGGTACCCAGTTTGGAACCTGCTTGGAAACTGTAGTGGGTACCCGATTTGGCACCTGTTTGGAATTGATTTTTGGAACTTGTGCTCCAATGAAATATTTGTGAATAATGGGGGGTTTCATTATTTTATAGATTGACGGCCACATCTGGCCGTCAACGGCCGCAAAAGGTCAAATATGGCCGTCAACGACGGCCAAAGATATAGTCGCCGTTGTCGGTCAACGACGGCCAAGAGTTACGCGTCTAACTTGTACACTGTGTGGGGTGGGACAAATGTGAAAGCTCCCACAAACCATGTAACTCAGAAATATTAGTGGGGGATGGCCATGCGACCATGGCTGCAATTTTACTGTTATCAACCTTCACTCCTTGATGTGTGACAATGTGCCCCAAGTATTCCAGTTCTTGTTGGCCAAACACGCATTTACTTGTCTTGGCAAATAATTGGTGTTGCCGCAAAATCTCCAACGTTTGTCTAACATGCACCACATGCTCATTCCAGGTGGGACTATATACCAAAATATCATCAAAAGAAACCAAAATGAACTTTCGAACGTAAGGCCGAAATATTGAGTTCATGATAGTTGGAAATGTCGAGGGTGCGTTGCAAAGGCCAAAAGGCATTACGAGATATTTGTAATGGCCGTTATGAGTACGAAAAGTAGTTTTAATAACATCGGGAGGATTTACTCTTACTTGATGACAGCCAGCTCTCAGATCCAATTTGGTAAAGTAAGCAACGCCATATGATTCTTCCAAAATACCGTCAACTGTCGGAATGGGAAAACGATCTTTGACAGTAGCGACGTTAAGTGCACGATAGTCTATACAGAATCGCCAACTGCCATCTTTCTTCTTCACTAGTAGCATTGGCAACGAGAAGGGACTGGTGCTAGGACGGATGAGTCCTAAATCTAACATTTCTTGGACCTGTTTCTCGATTTTAGCTTTCTGGAAGTGGGCATACCTGTACGACCATACGTTAATTGGCTCGGTTCCTTCCTTTAGTGTAATACAATGATCTACTTCACGTGTAGGTGGTAAACTTGAGGGCTCTTGGAACACGTCCTCATACTCTTTCAACAACCATTGCATATTCTGCTTTTTATCTTGAGTTGGTGCATCAGGTGGTGCAGTTCCCATGGTTGGTTGGAAACACACAGCAAATAGCGCATGTCCATGGCGAAACTCCTTTGATATTTCCTTTGGTGAAACTGCCTGAATGGTTTGCACATCCACTCCTTGTAGCCTACGGTCTTGATTTTCCCAAATAAAATCCATGGTCAACTGTTTCCAATTACAAACCACGGATCCCAGCATTTCAAGCCATTGAACGTCCAAGACAAGATCAAGACCTGAGAAGGGCAAAGAGAAAAGGGTGAGGTAAAATTCGGTGCCTTGTAATTCTAACCGTACCTTATCGTAACACCCCTGACATGTTAATATTTTTCTGTTGGCCACCTCGACAGGAAATGTCTCTGTTGGTATGACTGGTAACCTAAGCATACTTGCTAAACAGTTGTTGATGAAGTTGTGTGTCGATCCGCTATCAATCAAAACCATTACTTCATGGGGACCCATTTTCACTGTTACACGCATGGTTTTTGGTGATGTCCATCCTGTTAATGCATGCAAGGTGATCTTTGGTTTACGTTCAGGTTCCTGCACCTCTGCTACATCTCCCCCGTGGTCTTCTTCCAACGTTTGTTGATCAGTAATGTCCTCATATATCACGTTACTCGCATGCCCCTCCAAGAGTAATAGCTACAGTTTTTGACATCTATGGCCTGCTGTAAAACATTCATTGTAGTTGAAACAGAGACCTTGTGCTCTCTTCCTCTACATTTCCTCCCGAGATAAACGTTTAATTGGTCCTGCAGGTGCAACAAGAGCTACACGCGTGGTTTGTGGAAGGGCTAGAGGAGTTCTTGTTGGTGGAGTTCGAATGAACCGTTGCTACCGTGTAAGCTGCTCATCTCGCATTCATGCTATTTTAATGGCCTCCTTGAGTGATTGCGGTTTAAACATTTGTATCCCATCAGAAATTTCAGCCTTCAAACCTCCCATGAATGTCCCCACCAACTCCCTTTGCATCCATCCACGCACCTTGTTGCCAAGCTTCTCAAATTCATGTTGATAGTCTCTCAACGTCCTTAATTGCCTGATCCTTGAGAGAACTTCATCAGAGTCTTCGCATCCTGATGGTCTGAATCGAGCCCATAATTCGTTTTCGAATTTTTCCCATGAAATTATGTGACC